AAGTGTTATTTTAAAAAATATAATCCTGGTAACTTCTCTGGTCTTACCAGGATTTTAACATCTACTAATTACCTTGAACAATAACATAAATATTGACTGATTCCTTTATTTAACACCCTCCCCTGGCTAAAAGTATCTTTTCAATTGAACCCAGGGAGGCTTGCAGAAAGGGTTCAGATAATTGTTAAAATGTGGATAAAACAGTTTCCACCCCAGTTTGTTGAGACGCTAAAGGAGATTACACTTAGCACAGTGTCTGGCAAATGAAAAACTGTCAATGAAGAGCAGACGTTGTTATTGTTATTATTGTGTTACAAACTGTGTGTGTGTGTGTGTGTGTGTGTGTGTGTGTGGTGGGGTCTGGGGAGGTCAGGCTGGGAAGAAAGGTGAGGTGAGTAAGGAGAAGTGACCTCTTCTTGAAGAAGTAGTGAGGAGGGTGGGGGTGAAGCAGGTGGAAGGGTAGGAGGGACTTGGTTGGACTTGACTGGTTTCAGGTTCTGGTATAAAGTTGGTTTGTCACCAGGACAGTCAGGGTGCCAACTGGGTTGGCACTAGCAGTCCAAAGCCTGCTCAGCCAGTACTTGTCACCTGCATCAGCATGGCCTTTAAACGGAATTTGGCAAAGTTGTAAGATCTTTTTATTATTGCGAAGAACCTCAGATTTCACGTAATTCAGTCCCTGTTTTCGGAAGATGAATCAACTGAGACCCAGAAATGTTAAACAGTTTGCTCAGTCACCAGGCACATGCCAGGGGAAGACTTGGCATATGTTCAAGACGGCCTTGAGATTCTGGCATCATGAGCATACCTTATATACACTCTAAATGAACCATGCTAATACATATATCTGCGGCACATATTGTCATCAATAGTATTAACATGTAGTATAAATTGTAAAAATTATTCTTTTTTTATTGTTATTGGATTATTGAATCAAAATATTAAACAATTAGAATATTAAAATATATAAGGAATTAAAAATCTCTTCAGTGCCTGATTATTAACTGTACATAATAATACTTAGACAACTTATAGATGTAATGTGTCGACATCCTGCACATGTAAAGAAACTACTTCTAAAAGAGCATCTGTGACAAACAAGGCAAGAAGTATAAATTTAAGTAAGTGGTTTCTCTGCAGTCAGTACCACCCTTGGCAATCCCACATGGTTAACCACACTTGCCCCTGCCCTTCTATTTCCACCAGGGGGCAGTGTTCACCTTCAAATGGATATTGCTTAGATTCTGAACCTCTGCTTTGGCCTTAACTAGAAATTATTAACCCCTGATCAGAAGCAACCTTAATATTGAGCTTTTCAAAATGCCAGAGCACAATGAATATAAAGACAAGACTTCTTTACATTTATATGATGCTTTACAGCTTCCAAAGTGATTTCTTGTGTATTATCTCATTTGGACCTTACAAGGAATCAGGAAGAGAGGTTTCTTTCCTCTGATTTTAAGATGAGAAAACACGTGTTTCTTATAACAACTTATGTTTTTTAAAATAAAACTCATAACAACATGAAAGGAAATTTTAATGAGCACCTACTATGCACCAGGACTGTACTAGTAGCAGGGAACACGAAGGGGAAGAAAATAGCTGCCTCAATCTCTTATTGTAAATAATGCTGCTGGAAACATGACCCTGATTTCAATTCTTTTGGACGTTATTGTTGAATTATATGGTAATTCTAATTTTGATATACATATATTTAAATATATTTTTATTGATTTCAGAGAGGAAGGGAGAGGGGGAGAGTTAGAAACATCAATGATAAGAGAATCACTGATCAGCTACTTCCTGCACGTCCCCTACTGGGGATCGAGCTCACAACCCAGGCATGTGCCCTGACTGGGAATCGAACTGTGACCTCCTGGTTAGTAAGTTGACGCTCAACCACCGAGCCACACAGGCCGGGCTAGTTTTAATATTTTTGAGGAACCATAATATTGTTTTCCATAGCAGCTGTACTATTTTACATTCCCACCAACAGGGCATAAGAGTTTTGATTTTCCCACATCCTTGCCAACACTTGCTATTTCCTATTTTTTGTTATTTTTAAATTGAACTTACTGGGGTGACATTGGTTAATAAAATTATATAGGTTTCAGGGTACAAATCTATAATACATCTGTAAATCATATTGTGTTCACCATCCCAAGCCAAGTCTTATTTTTTAAATAGCAGTTACCCTAATGTTTGACTTGCATCTCTCTAAATATTGTGAATATTTTATAAATACTTTTTATTGATTTTATAGAGAGAAGAAGGGAGAGAGAGACAAAAAATAGAGAGATGAAGAAACATCGATTCATTGTTCCACTCATTCATCTGTTGATTCTTGTATGTGCCCTGACCAGAGATAGAACCCACAACCTTGGCATATCAGGATAATGCTCTGATCAGCTGAGCTACCTGCCCAGGGCTTGTCAGAGAGAATTTAATATAAATAATTGTTTAAGGAGATATTGGAAGATTGAAAAGGTCAGACAACAGGACCATCATGACTCAGACCTTTCAGAAATGAAGATTTTTCTCACCACACAGATCTTTATCTGACCTCTGATGCACTGAGATCCTGGCTTATGAATGCGTAGAAGAAGAGACAAAGCTTAATAACAAACAACTACACTAATAAAAGGGAAACATGCAAATTGGTGTCACTCTGCTATGCCCACCAGACAATCACGATGAGTATGCAAATTAGCCCAACAAAGATGGAGGTTAATTTGCATACGCAGGCGCAGAGCAAAGACTGAAGATGACTGAAGACTGAAGAGGCTTGCCTTCTCTGCTGTGGCTGGAGTGAAGGCTTGGGTCCTGGGTGCCGGAGGAAAACTGGTGCCAGCAGGCAGAGGAAGGAAGGTCTATTGCACAAATCTCTTCGTGCAGTGGGCTTATAGTCTCTATATAAAAGCCTAATATGCAAAGTGTCCCCTCTGGAGTTTGACCAATGGGAGTTTGATTGCTTGCTATGATGTGCGCTGACCACCAGGGGGCGATGCAGAATGAAGAAAGGGAGGCTCCGGCTGGCGGCTGGCAGCTGGCAGCTGCTAGGGACCCTATCTGTGCATAAATTTCGTGCACTGGGCCTCTAGTCCTATATAATAAAAGAGTAATATGACCAGACAGTGAATGACCAGAATGCCTGTGGCCCCTCGCTCTGGCCAGCCCCCCTATTCTCATTGGGGGCAGGGCCAGTCAGCAAACTGCCTGTGGCCCCTTGCTCTGGCTGGCCCCACCCATGGCCCCTCACCCCAACCAGCGGTGGGCTGATGGCCCTCATCAGGGCAGGCCGCCTGGATTCCACCAGTGCATGAATTCATGCATCGGGCCTCTAGTCTTATAATAACATATTTGTATTTGTCTCAAGTCAGTATTATTAAATATGAACACACTCTTCAGTATGAAGAGAATGACTATCTCAGATTATGAAAAACTAGAGGCCTGGTGCATGACATTAGTGCACTGGGGGCAGGTCCCTCAGCCCAGCCTGTGCCCTTTCACAGTCTGGGAGCCCTCGGGGGATGTCTGACTGACGGCGTAGGCCCATGCGAGCCTAAGCTGTCAGTTGGACATCCTTTGTACTGCCATGGAGGTGGGCTGCTGTGCTCACAAGCTGTCAGCCTGGCTTATGGCTGAGGGGTGCTCCCCCTGTGGGAGTGCACTGACCACCAGGGGGCAGCTCCTGTGTTTAGCATCTGCCCCCTGGTGACCAGTGTGTGTCATAGTGACCAGTTGTTCTACCATTCGGTCAATTTGCATATTACCCTTTTATTATATAGGATACTCCAGGGACTTGGTTAACTTTGTTAGATAATACTTTAAAAAGATAGTATTTTTGAACACCAGTCAATATTTACACAGTATGTGCTCTAAGAGTCCTTACCCAGCAACATGTGTTTCAGGGCTTTATAATGTGGCATGCTGGGACTTCAACAGTGAACCTCAGAAGACTGGCCCCCCAAAAGAGTGGCTGGTACATATATAATAGGACATATGAATTAAGAATTAAGTGGAGAATCTTTGAACTATGGTATTATTTGGTGCCAAGCAGGTCATGGAAACTTCACTATAGGGAAATTTATTCACACTGAAATAGGGTTTCAGTCATCAATTTGGGGTACAGAGGGTAGGGTTTACCGAACAGGAGTTCCAAGCAAATGGCTTGGGGACCAGGGCTCATGTCCTGGGGAAAACTGGAGCTCAAATCAGGAAGAATATTGAGGAATGCTATTTGGTAGACATGGGTAATACAGGAATCCACCAGAGAACATAAGGTAGTCTTAGGGGCAGAATAACTCCAGCCCCTACCCACCCCATATACTAGCAGAGTATGAAGTAATGTAATTTGGGTTCTTATTGGCTGGAAGACGTGGTGATGGGGTTGACCCTACAAGTACCAGATTTTTAGTACTGATCACTGGTCAGGGTTGGCCAAGGCAAAAAGAGAGGTGTCCTTTTGGTCACATTGGCATCACCTGGCTTGACAGTGCTTTTCCTGTTCATCTAATGGGCACCACATAATTTTGTGTGATATGATTTCACAGTGTTAGAAAGCACTGGAAAATATCTCTTAAGCTGCATGGCAATTGGGCAGAAGTAATATAGTAATGGGAAGAAAATACGGGAAGGTAAATGTGAGAAGTCAAGTAATCATGAAATGTGAAATTTCCAATTAACTTTATTTTTGGTCTGAGTTGAGAGATTTCAGAATTTCCAGGCTTATAATTCAAAGACAGAGAACTGGGATCTATCCACATATTATATATCGTTAAGAAAAAATAAGATTGGAGACTCATGAACTTCTTACTCAGTGAGGTTACTGACATTAGTCCAACATACCCATAAGGTTAAAAATGTATTCAGAGAAATCCTAATGACAATAATCTCTTCAAAAATTTATGTATAAATCAACCTTCAAAGGCTATAGTTGACTAATGTTTAAGGTTAAAAATATAACCTAATTTAAATAAAGACAATTCTGACCAAGTAAAATTGTTTGCATCAGTAGGAAAGTTTATTGAGTTCATTAGTAGATGAGGATAGAATTTTTTTTTTCCCTTTAAAGAACACTTTCTGGTAAAGTGGAAAGAAGAAATACAGAAACCACAAAACACCTTTTAGACACCTTATTTTCAAAGAGGGAACCTATTTCCATAGACCATCAGGCCTGAAGGTTCTGTTCTTCATGGAGGTTCTGTTTTCCATGCATCTGTGCAAAGTGGCCTGTGTGAAGGGAGACTTTCCGCTTGATGTAGTTTATTTGTAGTGTTTCCTGGTTTCTGATTCAACCTTAGATGAAAGGACTCTACCATCAGGTGTCACTTCTTCAATAATTGTCTTGATCACTCTGGTTTTACTGTTGTCTGCATGTGAATCACGAAAAAGAAAATAGAATTTAGACTAAGCAATTTGGGCCCCACCCCCCGACTAATTAACAAGCAGCATTTCTAAAAGAAAAAGACACCAAATTTAAAAAAGAAAATTTAACTTTCTAAAGTTGCTTAAAAAATCTGAGCAATGATTAAGCGATAGCATCTTAGACTACGCAAGCTTTCCTTCAAGATGGGTGTCCAGAGTATACTTTATTTAAAAATAAAATGCAAGTGGGAACCCTAAGATTTTAATTTTTTAGAAAGTTAAGGCGAATTCTTATTACCCCAGCCAGGTTCTCCTGACCTTGGTCCCTTAGATGAGGACTCCCCAGAGGACCCGGAAGAGGTCTTGCGGCC